GTGCTGATGTTAAGTATCACTGCTGTCATCTTCATACTCATAAAGGTGCTGTTATGGACTAAAGGAGCTAATTAGAGAGGATCAAATGCAGATTAGCTCCTGAGAACAGACAGTTCTGTGGATGTGTGTGTGGTCAGGTGGTGCACATTAGCATTTACATATACTCCTACAGAATTGGAAATAGAAATACCACAAAAGCCCTATTTGGATTGGATTTGTTAATCAGGGGATTGTCTGTAATAACATTTTACTAGTCTACTGAAAGATAAAATAAGCATTCAGACAGCAATTAAATCGACCCCTGAAGTCTTGTTACCATCCTGCAGTTGGTGTCATGCCCATATTAGAAAGTCTGGGTCTAAGCTGTTTTTTCTATTGGAAAAATGAATGCCATTTTTGACATCTCTGCTATTTGCGTCCTGTGGTAAATAAAAATGTCTTAAAGCCGATACAGTTTGACATTTTTCCTCCAAATGTCACTGGAATCACTCTGTCACTCTGAATTACAGGGTCTCCAAGGAGTTGAAATGTAAATGTTGCTACAGGCAAAGGAGTCTTGTGGAGCCAGATGTGGTCATGTAACGAGAATACATATCTGAAATTTTGGGCTAAATGTGGGAGGCAACATAGACTTACTAAGGTGATAACAATCTGTGTAAATTTTTTTAACCAATCCAACACCCCATGAAGACAGAGCTCACAGCAGGGGGTGATGATGCGATAGTCAACATTGTTCAATGAACAACAAGCCTGTCGTTAGCCCATATACGTAATGTAAGTTATCATCACTGAAACCCCCCCTTTTCCAAAAAACTCCACTTAAGCATGTAGATGTGAGTCGCATTAGCAATAGTCACATGTTAGCAGAGAACAAATTACATGTGGTTAAATAAACATTATCTCGGGAAAGACAATTCCGTTAGCTAAGGATATCGATTTGCTAGCTAGCTTGTTTAACTTGTATTATCATTGTATTCCGAATGTTAAAAGAACATGGACTAAATCAATTTTGGTGCCGGGTTTAGTGGGAGTGTAACTTTATCAATTTAGCAATCCAGGTTTAACCAAGGTTTAACAGGTTCTCAATACGAGATCACATCTGACCTATGAGACTACATGCTAGCTAAAACTGCTGCACAATGAAATGACATCATAAAAAATTGCTGAAGGCATTGCCAAGCGGCGGCTGGAGGGGTGTAAAGCACATCACCACTGGACTCTGGAGCAGTGGAAACGTGTTCTCTGGAGTGATGAATCACGCTTTAGTATCTGGCAGTCTGATGGATGAATCTGAGTTTGGCAGATGGCAGGAGAACACAACCTACCGGAATACATAGTGCCAACAGTAAAGTTTGGTGGAGGAGGGATAATGATCTGGGGCTGTTTTTCAGGCCACTCAGTTCCAGGGAAGGGTAATGGTAATGCTATAGCATACAAAGACAGCAGCTAGACTTATATGCTTCCAACTTTTGTGGCAGCAGTTTGGGGAAGACCCTTTCCTGTTCCAGCATAACTGCACAAAGCGACTTCCATAAAGACATGGTTTGACGAGTTTGGTGCGGAGGAACTCTAATGGCCTGCAGAGAGCCCTGACCTCAACCGCACTGAACACCTTTGGGATGAATTGAAACGTCGAATGCGAGCCAGGCCTTCTCATCCATCATCAGTGCCTGACCTCCCAAATGCTCTTTGGACTGAATGGGCACAAATTCCCACAGATACACTCCAAAAGCTTCCCAGAAGAATGGAGACTGGTATAGCTGCAGGGCGCGGAACTCCTTATTAATGGCCATAGTTTTTGCAATGGGATGTACAACAAGCTCATATATGTATGATGGTCAGGCGTCCACATACTTTTGGCCATATAGTATATTTAAATGATGCATAAATAAAGTCGTGTGAGTCATCCACTGCCTCATTAATCCGCAAAGTGACGGCTGGGTGCGACAGAAGCACACGTGACCTGCCTTCATTTGCACAGCTCTGTGAGTCAAATGGAACCACAATTTACTCTATTCTTCTCTCGTGAAAAGAACGATTGAAGCGCTGCTTCACTTTCACCAGCACAAGCAAATGGTGCTAACACGCTTTGTTCTCTGTGCAGATGCAGAGAAGAAGCTGTTTGGGGAAATCAAATTAAATTTGCTCTGTACAAACCACGACACAACAGTTCAAAAGCAGCCAATTAGTTGTTTATTTGCGATCAGTGACTGCAAAGACTTACACAATCTCTAAGTGAAACAAGCTCAGGAAGATTGTTTTTATGTTTGCAGTTGTTTATTCATGCAGATAAATACACACATACATTATTTCCAGGTTGCGTCTACTGATCTAGGAACATTTAGGGAGAGTGGGTGTATGAAATATTCATAAGGAGGTTCACTGGAAATAAATGCAGCCTGAATGTTCTTTTAATGAAAACCTGTACTTTGTGCATAAGTCAGAGATCACCGTTCATTTATGTGATTTCTAGTCAAAACAGCCATTATTCATTTTTCACTGTAAAAAAAACAAATACATATATTTGACAGAAAATTACACAAAAGTCAAAATGTAATGTCTATAATATGATATAATAAAATAAAATATAAAATTTTTCAGTGTTTAGTGTATCTGCTCTTTACCTTCATTACAGCTTCTATTCTTTTCTGGAGACTTGATTTCAGTCCATTTAAAGACATTTGCAAAGAGACTTCTATGACTGAACTTTAGAGGTGTGGAAAGTTTTCCAAGTCATTGAACTTGTTTATATTTTCTGCTTCTCATGATCCCAAAATTCTCCCAACTACACATTTATACACACCGGTCCATAAAGCCTTACTAAATATCTCAGATGATCTGGTTTTGCTGGTCATAAAAAATCCCATAGGACTTCTGGACTTACTGGATTTCTGCCATATTTTGGAACGGATTCCTACAGGATTAGTTCCAAAATATGATAGAAATCCAGTAATATTCCCATTTTTTTTCTATTGGAATCCTATAGGATTTTTTTGACCAGGGGATTGGACACCCTGTAGAAATCCAATTGGAATCCTATTGATCATCCTATAGGAATTCTATTGGACATCCTCTAGGAATCATGTTGGAATCTGATTGATCATCCTATAGCAATCCTGTTGAACATTCTGTAGGAATCCTATTGGAATCGTATTGATGATCCTATAGCAATTCTGTTGGACATCGTCTGGGAATCCTGTTGGAATCTGATTGATCATCCTATAGCAATTCTATTGGACATCGTCTGGGAATCCTATTGGAATCTGATTGATCATCCTGTAGTAATCAAACTGGACATCCTGTAGGACTCCTGTTGGAATCCCATTGATCATCCTACAGCAATCTTATTGGACATCCTATAAGAATCCCGTGAAATTCTAACTGAATTTCATTTAGAAATCAAAAAGAAATAAATAAATAATTATAGATCATTTAAGATTATCTGGCATGTTTCTCTGGTTTTATTTTTATTATTTACAACTCATTAGAAAAATCATTGAATATAGTTTTGCTTCCAGCAAACCTTTTTCTTAAAATATTTTGAAACTACTTGTTTTTCACTAATGGGACGTTCTCTAACACTAAAATTTGAGAAAATGAATTTAAAGCACTGGATGGAACATGCATTACACCATGAGATGGATACAAGGCCGGACCCAGAATAGACAAGGCTTATCTCTGTTAAGATACTCTCCTGATTTGCCTGGTTTAACACAATCAGCCGAAATGATTCACACAAGTAGTAACATGCCTAATTAACCGAATAAAAAAAAATCCATAAATATATTATAGACAAAAGAAAACATGACGTCCTTGTGCTCTGAAAATACAGTGACAGTGCCGGACTTTAAATTAAATCAGCTTGAAAGAGGTTGTAGAGTAATGTGGCCTTCAAGAAATTACCTAAAAAACCTAAAAGCACTGTGCCATTATAAATCACATCTAGGGTCAAAAAGTCTGACTTCACTACCAAGAGCTGTTCACATTTCACTTGCATCAGAAACTCATTTTCAAATTGGATTTCACAAGCAAGATTACATCATTTGCCTGTAATATGAGTAACAACAGTGTTCTATCCATGAAGGTTCATCCAAGAGAGCATAATTGTCCATGCTGTCTCTTTGGGAGGGTAGGAGAGCCCTCCCACTCCCCCATCACTCTGCATGATGCTACCTAATCTGGGCATCTGCTAGCTAGCGTTACAGAAGAGGCAGTTAGTGTTCTCCTCCAAGCATGTTGAACTGTCCAATGTGTTGCATTAGCAGCATTTCAAAAACATGTGGGGGAGCTTCCTGTGTCTCAGAGGAAACACATGCAAGCTTTCACTTCCCCCAGCTTGGTAACATCATGTGATGGGGAGAGACCTGACTAACAAATTCATCAAATTGAAAAAAAAAGCTCTTTAGTGAAGATTAATATTCACCAAAAGCCAAAATGGCTAAGCGGCTGGTACATTCACCACTTTGCTTCATGTACTAACTGAGTCAATATCTACTTTTAGTCAGAAATGACAGAGATGGCTACTGGTGCACATGAGGTAACATTGGAAATTGATACTGAGGAACCCTCAGGGCCTTCTGGGTTGTCCCTAAACACTACAAGTGTTGTTGTGATACTTTGTTGTTAAGATTTGTTTGGAAACAAAAACGTTAAAATCTTTAAATGTCCGACCAAAAATTATACAATCAGGATTTTTTTCTTTGGTATCTAGGCAGCTACAGCCAAGTGAGCTCTCCCATTGGTTAGGACTTCAGGAGCTGAACAGAAGGCCTTAAATGTTGGATTAACCACCAAAATAACTAAGCAAAAGAGAAATCAACCAATCACATTCTGGTTTACAATGTGTGAGACCAATGAATACCTATTAGGGTCTTGGCTATTGCCCCTTGCCCTCAGGTGAAGATTTCACCTCAGTCAAGGTTTGTCCATTTGCTTTTACCTACACCCAAGAGTGATTTCAGTGTTGATAACTGTTGTGCTCTCCGGCTTCCTCCGTCCAGGTACATGGCCATCATTCACCCACTGAAGCAGCGGCTGTCGTCCACTCAGACCAAGGTGATCATTGGGGTGATCTGGGTGTTAGCCCTCCTCCTGGCCTTCCCGCAGTACTACTACTCCGACACCGATGAGCTGCCTGGCCGCATCGTCTGCTACATCGACTGGCCTGAATACACCGTCATGAACTTCAAAACAATGTAAGAATGATTCTGCCGTTCATTTGGAGTGGAAATGGGGCTTTTATGGGGGTGGAAGGTTTGCAAACAAGTAAGAAAACAACTGGTAAAAATAAGTTCATATAATTAGATGATGTCATCATGGGCTGACACCCTATCAGTTACTTGTTACCATACAGTTTATGCTGTTACTATTGAGTAGTTACAGGCTCTCTAGGATTGGTCTAAATCTTTTCTTTTTTACGGTTTGAACAGTTGTTCAATTTTATCATACCCATCATATACTCAGAAAAGCAAATCTATCATAATATAAATAACATCCTTATGGAGTGTCTCGTATATTGTAAGTGTTTCATGTGTAGGTTGGTGGAATTATTTCCAATTAGTCTGCCATCAGATGAAGTTGCTAAAAATGATGATACAGCTTAAGCCTGAACTAGAAAAATGTAGTCTCTCCGTATCTCACTGGAGGATATTCAATCAACAGTGCTAGTCCTACAGTACAATTAATCTTTCTCTGGAAAACACAATCTACCCTTTAGCACAGGGTTTATCTTGGTGTTAATTAGATAAAGGCTCAATCTCAAAGCCTCTTGTGAGTTCTTGTTTATTTATACTGTTTAGTCTGTTCAGCCTAGACTAAACAATTACAGTTGTTTAGTCTACACTCAAGGCTCAGATCAGATTCACTTTCTTTTATACCTGGCTGGGTCTGTGTGTTTGGACAAGGTATAAGTTTAATGATTTGCTGAAATACAGATCAGAGTGGAAAACTCTGGAGTTTGCTGCTGTTGAGATCTGAAGGAAAAGTTAAGGCCCTTTCTGGATACATGAAGGAAATCAGACTGGACTGTCTAGCTCACAGTGGCCTTTTTGTCTTCAGTGGTTATAGCAGCTTTAGTGGTAGGCCTGTGCTCAGCAAACTGGCGTTTTACATGGTCTAGGTCAGGGACCGGCAACCCAAATGTTAAGAAGAGCCATTTTGTCCTTTCAACAAAAATCAAACCACCTTGGAAGCCACAACATTTTTATGTCCATTTTGCCAGCTTGGCTGTAAATTAACTCAGTATGTGCTAATGTACTAGTAAAGGTGAAAAAATATAATATAAACGAAAACGCAGACTCACTTTGCTCTGCTTTAAGCTTTAGCTCACCTATAACCGCTTTTCTCACATCTCCGGCAGGAAACTTTTCCGCAAAAGTAGAGCAGTGTCTCCTAATATTCGACTTTTTGCGAGGCTGAAGTCGCTTCTCATTCTCCAGCTTCTTGTTCGAATTTTCTCGTTCGACCTTAAATGGTGCCTGAGGCACCGGAATGTAACTGCTGCACCATTTAAGGTGGTACAGGAGAATTCTAACGAGAAACTGACTTCAGCTTTGGGCCTTTTTAGTGTTTGTCAGTTTCTCATTGCAGATTAAACATATCAGGAAACCAGCTGGAGCAATTATAAATGCAAATAAGTATTTGTCTGCAAGTTATCGATGTTCGTTGTAAAACTTTCCCTTCCCTTTTTGTTAGCTACTAGCAAGGTGAGACTGTTGTCTTCATTGCTATGGTGATCAGCAGTCTGCACGCCAATCTTAGGGGGTTAAAGAGTGAATTAGCAGATATACATTAACTCCAACTCCAAGAAGTTAATTTATTGTTAAAACTGTGTTGAACGATCAGCAGAGCTTTATTTTACTGCAAAGGAGGATTATTTTATTTTTACCTAGAAATCTCATTTTGCTGTGGAGCCACAACAGGGCAGTAAAGAACCACATATGGCTCCGGAGCCGCATGTTGCCGACCCCTGGTCTAGGATGTGGATCAGGTCATGGCACCTTAACATGGAAACATAAAGCGATAGTTCTGTGTAAAATCTAACTTTGTAGCTGACCAATCAGCTAAGACATTACATAAAAACAGTTTGAGATTAACAATGTAGCATAGATTGAGGCAAGGTGCATTTTGCACAGTGCTAATTGGTGGGGTATAAGCTTACATTACTTAGCCACATTAGCCGCTTAACTCCAGCCCTAAATTAAAGAAGCAAACATGTCTTGGGATATTGATTACATTTGGAATAAGATGAAATTCATGCAAATAGTTTTTTTGGCAAGCGTTCACTGTAAGTATAATTTTATAGTCCTTTTTAATGGCTATAAAGCAGTTCCAGACTGTTCCAGTTCTGAGCCTAATAAATTAATCACAGTAGCTTGTGGCAGTCTGGAGCGTTGGATCTTTTTCCAGATCACTGCTCTCCAAAGAAGACCGCCCAGCCGCTCCAACAACGCATTCCAGACATAGTGATTTCTTTCAGAAAGGAGGAATTCAGTTTAGCTGGATAGCTTGAACCAGCGTTTCCTAACACTGGAGGTCCTGGAGACCCCCTGTCCTGCATATATATAGTGTTAATCCAACTAACCAGCACATTAACAAGCCCTTATGAATTGAATTGGTTGAATTTAGAGTGCTAAAGCACTGAAATGTGCAGGGCCTCCAGAACCAAAGTTCGAAAACACAGGCTTAAACCAAACCTCAAGACCATGAGGCATGTTTTCGTACTGGACATCACTGGTTAAATGTCCAATTAATATATGTTCAAGGAGATACCATATTAATTGATTGTTTAACTGTAATATATTTGAAAGATGGCTTGACTCATTTGGGTACTACACTCTTTAAAATAAAGGATTTTTGGAGAAAATACATATTGAACAGTTCAACTGAGAGACCTCCAAAGTAGTTACTGTGAAAACAGGTTAAAAAGTTCTTCACACTCACAAATCTCTTTTTCAAACATGGTTCTTTAGGGAACCGAAAGTGGTTCTTCTACAACATCACTCATAAAGCTAAGATTGAGCAAAACCCAGACAATTTGTCTGAGGCTTTATTTTCCTATAGTTTATGGCACCTCCTTCATCATGAAATGCACTGTATATGCAAGGGTCCAATAGACGCTCTTGCACTCGGGTTCAGAAGAACATGAAACAACTTAATTTCATGGTTGTTCACTTTTCTATGAGCCCATCGTCTCTTGGGTTTTGGCAGCGGAGCGTTGCAAAAAACAACAGCGTGGGTGTAAAAATGAGAACGAAGCCCTCGTCCTCCAAAGAAGCAGCGGGACGGAAAGTTCACCTTGACAAAAAGGCGACGCGTTTTTCTCATGCAGAGACCCGCCTAGAGCGAGAACACCCACGCTTCTAAAACAGACAGCCACTGCACGCTCGGCAGAGCTCTGGGAGCAAAACCACTGAAGAGTTTGGGGTACAGTTTGTAAAGAGAGATAAAAGGAAATGGTGTGAATTGTTACAGACGTCCTTAAGTCAATGGGATTTGGTCCGGCTCAGCTGAAAACACAAGTTGCAGGTTCAGTGAGCATTTCCCTTCTTTCTTCCTCTGTTCATCCCCTCCTACTTCTACTTCCTCCAACTTTCCATTTCTCTTTTTCCTTTAAAACATCCTTCCTCTCTCACTGTGTTGATCCCATCTCCAGACATGAGACTGTAACCTCTTCTATCCTAGCATGAACATGATGTGTGGCCCAACTTTGTCCTACAGTAAGGCTGCTTAAAAAGATGCTAATTTGAATGAGCAAATACAGCCTGCTGGCTTCTTCCTTTGACTTAGATGTAGACTTATGTCCAGCTATTTGAAGGGTAGCCGGCCATGAACTCAGCTACATCATTAGAAATTGGTTCTTTTTAAAGACATAGCGCTCTGGTCATCAGGGCCAGTTAGGCAAGCGATTTTATAGTGGAATGTTTTTGGGCAGATGGGAATAAAGCAGTTTCTCATACTGCATGATAAGGCTTTCAGAAGTAAGCTGTACAGCTGGGTTTGAAGTTTGAAGTATTGTGCAGTTGTTTTGGGTGAAGAGTACCAGCTACATCATGGCACAAAAAGACTGTACATGAATGAAGTACAAAGAGTCTTACTTCAGTATGTACCTGTTATGATACTGAATCTGACCTGTAAAAGAAATACATGATTCTTACTGTAGTTTTACTGGATCTTTACCATTTACATCAGAAAACTATCTTTGGACATTTTCATCATTTCGCACCATTTGGCTACCCGCTACTTGGAGGCGTTTCCAAATTACTTGCCTGCTTAAACAAGCAAAAGTTCACCTTGACAAAAAGGCGACACTGAAGTTGTGTTTTTCTCAAGCAGTTAGTTTGTACTAACCACCTTCTTACTCCAATTAATTATGAGATATTTTTATCTCCTTTGTCAGCTTAATAGCTTGAACCTGTTACTCATTTTATTGTAATTTAGCTACACTTGTTAAGTTTAGACTTGAAGATATAATTTAGTTTGATTGATTTGTAGATGTAGTTTAGTTTAGACTTGCTTAGTTTAGACTTGTAATTTGTAGATGTAATTTAGACAGACTGACTTGTAGATGTTTGTTGGCAATTGGGTGACTTGTGTGCAGCTGCAGTTAGCCCTGAAGCAAATGTTGCAATTAGCAAGCTTGCTAACTTGTGTAAAACAAACAACAAAACCACAAAAGTAAGGATATTAATATAGTGTTCTGACTGACTGTGAATCATACAGTCTCTCTTTTGTGTTTTTGATTGTAGCTAGTGGGGAAGAGTTGTTAAAAGGTGTGTGCTGGGTTAATTTAGCATTTGCTCCACTTTGGAGGTTTAGTGCTATAAGATGGGCCACCCATGCGGACAGTCAACACAGCCAAAGTAGTGGCGCATTTGGTTGAGGATATGAATTTGCATGTCAGAGTTCACTTAAGTTAAATTTGATGTGAAATTTTGTTGGAGAGGTCTGCAACGCTAAGTTACACATTGTGGCGAATTGGCAAATAAAAATTCACTAGCAAACTATGGCTGGGTTTTCACTTTTTCGCAAATATAATGTGCATTTACAAAATTTCAGTAGAAAAAATGCAGATTAAGTTTTGTTTCCATCCACTACAGTTACGCAAAGAAACTTTAGATGACATAGGCCACTATGATTAGAGGCTGCATTGAAACGAGCGAGATGGAGATATTTAACTCATTTTTTGCTTTAAGTA